GATCCAGGCTGAATACTGTCACTACACAGGGACTGTGGCATGCAACGCTGCTTAAATGGCAGCTATTATGAATCCCAAGGGCTGGGTGCAGAAAGCCTGCCGGTGCGCACCACAAGCCCAGGGTTTCTCAGAAGGGGTGCTTGCTGGAATTGTCCTGGGGTCGTCTCCAGTGCAAGGCAGTGGTGGTGCCTGTGCAGAACCGCAACTCTGTGCCCTGCCCTGTAGGTTATCTGCTTTACTCATGCCATCTGCAGGTGTGCAAAGGCAGGACAGAAAGAAGACCTCAATACCCCAGCTTAATCAAGGGAGAGCAAGAAGAAAAAAACATTTTTAAGGTTAAAATGCCAGCTCCATCTGCTGAAGCACCTGTCCTGTGTGACAACTTCCGTTACACTCTTTCCTCCTAACACACCATGAGGCAGGTACCTCGATTATCTGAGCACATATTGAGGTGGGGAGTGCAGGTTCCTTGATTTAATCACCCCCCATTCAGGTAGAGCTAGGTCATCCATCTCCACAACAGGCCATGGATAGAGCTGTGCATACTCAGGTGGTGGGCTGCCCAACTTCTCCATCTGCCTATGCTCCAGCGCTCTGCGGAGCCAAGGTTCCCACCAGGCAGTTATAGTCCATGACCTGGTTATCTGCCCCACTCATTTCCCTCCCATGTCCCTGCTTACTCCCCAAAATGTCAGCCACAGGGAGGGGGCTGAACCAGGCAGAAGCCAGGAGCCTGGAACTCAAACTGAGTCTCCCACATGGGTGGCAAGGAACCCAAGGACTTGGACCACCATCTGCTGCATCCCAGGAGACACTGGGAGCAGGAAGCTGCATCAGAGACAGAGGTAAGACTGAGACACAGACCATTTGATCTGGGATTTGGCATCCCAAGTGGTGTCTTGTCTGCTACACCAACACCTGCCCCATTGCCAACCCCCCGCCATGTCTGTATCTTAGCTGAGTGATGCCTTGATTGCAGTAGAAACAATTTGGCATTGATGAAGTAAATAGTTGGGATCCCTTTCCCTTTCCCTTTCCTGGGAAATGCTGAGTACAAGTTGTCACCTGCCTTTCTCAGACACATTTATACATAAGACACAAGGAATAGCCTGCCCCATTCTAAGAAATGGTAGAATAAATGTTCTGACTATATTTCTTTCCTCCCAGAGAAGGAATCTCAATGCCATGACCCATTTTGCGCAATGTGACAATTTCTGGGGACTTTCAGGGCTCCAGGGAACAGTGTCCCTCTTGCTCCAGGACATGGTCAGGGCTGAGGCGAGCATCCTGGTCATGTGCTGTAGGTTTGTCTTGGACATCATTGCTCTGACAGTCTACCGTCGGAAGCATCCACCCACACCTGTCCTGTCCAAGTTCTGCTCTTTCCGGTGCCCACCCATTCTCTCACACTTCTCTCCAGTTTCACGTACTGTTGTGGTCTGGATGTGTGTGTCCCTGCAAAATGTGTACGCTGCAGCTCAAACATCACATGACAGTGCTCAGTGCCAGCCTTTTCCCGCTTATGCAAGTTTATTAAAGAATTTCCAAAATTCTTCCTCCTTGTTGAAGGATCCACAGAGCAGACCTCTATCTCCGGCCATAAGCCCTGGAGCTCTCATATGTTCCTGGGACTCCTGCCGTGCCTTCTGCATTCCCCGGAAAGGTGCAGCAGGGCTTCTGCAGGTTCGCCTCCTGAGACTTACATGGGCCATAGCTTGCAGCTGCCAGAGCGGGTGTATTTTGTGCTGAAAGCAGCTACTTGTCCTGTCCTTTACAAACATCAGCCACCTGCCTCCTCCACAGACCCTCCTCCTGTCCAGGCTTTTCCTGTAGAATGTCACTTAGTTCTCCCTGTGAGAGAACAAATTAGTTATCCATCACATGTCATGAATGAGCAGGTACTACACTACCGGGAAGTACAATGGGACCAGGTACTGGTCAAAGCAGTGACAAAGCAGTGTTCTGAATTTCGAGGTGGGGTGTGATATAGGACCACAGAACACTTTACAGGCATTCCAAGAACCTGCTGGATGTCTTCAGAAGTAACCCAAAGGAGCTGGCGTCTCTTCCCTTGAGAACTATTTGGTTTCAACATTAGTGGAAGCAGATTGAACTCTCCTGTGTATAGCTTCATGTTTATATTTCATTCTTTCTGAAGATGTCTTATGATGGCCTAATTGCTTCCTTTTGTAAAATCCCCATGTTATTTTTTAAAATAAAAGCTTTTATTTATTTGAGACAAAGAGAGATCTTTCATTTTCTTATTTAACCAAATGTTGCAACAGCCAGCAGGGACTCCACCCAGGTCTTCAATGTAAATGGCAGGGGCCCAAGTGCTTGGGTCATCCTCTGCTGCTTTCCCAGGCTGGATTGGAAGTGGAACAGCCAAGACTCAAATGAGTACACATATGACATGCTGGTATCACAGGTGGCAGCATAACTCTTGCACCCATGCTGCTTCATCTTTCCTTTTTTTTTTTTAGAGATGTATTTATTTGACATGAAGCGAAAATTATGTGAAGACAAAGAGAGAGAAATCTCTCATCTGCTGGTTTAATTCCCAAATGCTATGACAGGTGGAGCTGAGCCAATCTAAATCCAGGAGCCTGGAGCTTCTTCCAGGTCTATCACTTGAGTGCAGGAGCCCAAGGCCTTGGGCTATCCTCCTCTACTGGTTTCCAGGCTATAAGCAGGGAGTTGGATAGGAGGTGGAGCAGCTGAGCCATGAGCTGGTGCCCATTTGTGAAGACAGCACCTCAGGTGGAGGATTAAGCTACTTGCCACCACCATGCCAGGCCCCAGTGAATAGGGGTGGAGGACATTTCTAACCATTTAAAACAAAGTAAGCACTTATTTGTTCTCTTGTTATTCAGTTTCCTTTACCCGTTTTCACACCATCATGACCTGCCCCCCATCTGTCTGCCGCACCTGGATTCCAGGTGTACCATTTGTTTCCTTGGGGATGCAGTCATTCTTCAAAACAAGGCACATACACCAGCTCATGGCAAATGGTACTTCCTGACTTCTCTGCAAGTGTAGCACCTGGACACAGATTTTGTGCTTTGGGTTAACTCTATTAATGCCATTAACATATTATTTCCTAGTAAGTGAATTACGGTTTGTACTCAATGACGAAGCGTCAGCTCGGCCAATACTGAATCCTGTAGGGGTGATCTGTGGGGACTCCAGTTTTAGGATGGGCACGAGCACTGACTGGAGTTCGGCACAGCTATGACCCCTGTTGGTCCAGAATGTTTGCTGCCACTGCACCTCATAGTTGCTACTTGCACACTTGGTGAAGTGGAACCTTCTGAGCAAAAAATTGTCCCTGCTCACTTTCAGACGCTGGATGCTGAAGGCAGGTGGTGGGGTCCTGCTGAGCCTTTGGGGCTGTCTGCTTGCCTGCCTGCCTGACAATTTCCTTTCCATGGTTCCCAACAGTGGGGCTAAGCCCTGGGAACCTGGACCACAGAAGGGGTCCTGCCTCCTAAAGCCTTCTGTGCTAGCTGCCTCAGAAATGAACCTGAGGTGGCCCCCACCATGCCGGGTCTTACAGCCACAGGCACTTTATTCTGAGAATCAGTGAGCTTTTAGAGGGACCGTTGGCTTCATTGTTCTGGATCCCCTTTTGCCACACTCCCTGCTTCTGCTACTTTCAAACTTGATGTCTAATTTATACCAGTCAAGATCAAATTCTGAACAGATGAGTTAAGGTGCCAGGACATGAACTGGCACCCATATGGGATCTTGGCATATGCAAGGCAAGGATTTAGCCACTGAGCCATCACACTGGGCCCTGCATGAACTTTCTGAAGAGCCCTCTCACATGGTAGCTGCTCAGATAAGGCACGTAGACTGAGCAGTGGCTCTCAGCCTGTGTGAACAGTGCTTGGTTACCTCCTGGGACTGGAGAAAGCTCACAACTCCATTCACCTCTGCAGTCAGTACCTGGCCCGAGGGTCCCCACACGGGGCGTTTGCCTCAGGATCCCACTCTGGGCCCCCTTTTTTTCTCCCCGTACTCAGACATCCACATCCACAGCCACCTGGGGTTCCACTCCCTATTCCATCCAATCTTGCTGCTGGCTATCTCCACCCTGAACCCTTATTGGAGACCTACATGGGAATGTCAGGACCTCCTAGGACTGGGAGGGAAGCCTGCTTCCCAGTCCCCACCCCACCCCACTCCATAGGCTGGATCCTGGGTGTTTCAGGTTCCTGGTGATCCTCGGCATATTTGAAGACAAAGTTCAGAGGGTTGTAAAGTTGAAAAACTGAAGAGGGTGATGGGAGGGGTGAGTAGCCTGAGTCTCAAAGAAAATGTCAAGCCCTTCTCCCTCTTCTCCCTGAGAAACCCAGGGCTCCAACTGTCAACTGCCTCTTGGTGCCCAAATGACCACACTGCCCCCCAGCTCCACTGCTCTTGGAACAAGTGGACACAGAGCTTGGGACTTTTTTCCCCCTGAACTTTTCAGTTTTCCCCAGAATGGACAAAGCAAGGAAGGAGGCAGGGAGGGTAAGTGGATGAATGAATGTAGGTGGGTGGATGGGTGGATAGGCAGTTAGGTGGATGATGGATGGATGGGGTAAATGGGGGAATAACAGGATGGATGGACCAGAGACCTGGAACTTCAGAATCTGGGTCAGCAAGGTTGAGCCCCTGGGGACCCTCACATCCCTCCCACCTCTCACTTCAAGGCATGGTTCCTGTGCCGCAGCCCATTCCTGGGTGCTAAGAGAGGGTGGAGGTGGGTGAGGTAATCGGGCCCGATTGGGCCAGAGGGGAGCCCGAGGGGAGGTGGGGAAGGGGAAGAGAGAGGGAGAGCCTGGGAGGCGGAGAAGAGGGGCGGGCGCGGCGGGAGCTCGGCGCCGGCTGCGGCGCGGGCGGGCAGGCGGGCGGTCGCGGGGACGCGATGTTGCCGCCGCCACCTCGCGGGCCGGGGTTACGCCGTTGTCGGAGCTGAGCAGAACGTCTGCCGGGCGCGCCCGCAGCGCGGGAGGATGGGCTGCGGCGGGAGCCGGGCAGACGCCATCGAGCCTCGCTACTACGAGAGTTGGACCCGGGAGACCGAGTCCACCTGGCTTACTTACACCGACTCGGACGCTCCGCCCAGCGTCGCCGGTCCGGACAGCGGCCCCGAGGCGGGCGGCCTGCATGCGGGTGAGTGCGTCGGGCCCACGGTCCCCGGGTCGCCGCCAGAGGAGCCGTGGGCGCCCCCGCAGCCTGGGCCCCTAGGAAATCGATGGCGGCAGGTGCGAGTCAGTCGGACCCCAGCGCACTGACTGCTGCAGACCCGGGCCCAGCTGGCGTGCACCGAGAGACCCGGCGGAAAACCACCGAGCCCCCTCTCTGGAGCTTGAGGGATTAATGCGGGGCCGGTACTAGGGCGTCACCGGAGGCGGTTGCTGAGAGAAGGGCAGCCCATCTAGCCGCGCGTCCACCTGGGGTCCGGATCCACTTGGGGTCCCCTCCCGCCATCTGCGTACCCAGGCGAGGACATCCGTGGCCGCCTGGCCCCCCTCTCTCGTTCTGTAGTGCCCTTTTCTCACCCCTCAGGAGTGTTCCCCGCTCCCAGGTTCCAGCCTGGTCTAAGTCCAGGGCGCAGCTGCGGCGCACCTGCCCGGCGTGCCACACGTGTGCGTCCTTTCCCGCCGCTGTCCCCGCAGAGGGCTTTCCCTGAGGGAGGACCGGGAGGTGGATTTTGACTATAAATACCCTTCCCCAAGTCGTTCCGGTGCAGTGGAAATCGGATAGAAAACATGCAAAGAATTCTGTCTGGCCGGTCGCAGAATCCTTTCTTTATGAAAACAACACCAATGGTTGCAGCACAAAGATGGAAATTGTTACCATAGATTCTCAGTTCATCCTAAGTGCTTTGGTGATATTAAAAGGAAAATTCCCACTACCTACTACATGGGTGTTGTCAAAAACCAGATAAGTACTGGGGGGAGGGGAGTTTCCCAGCCCTTCTGCTGTTAGCAGTTTTGAATAATGACATCTGAAATAGGAAACAGGGCTCCTGTGAAGTGTAATGGGTAACACGTGCTGGAAGCAGGAAGTGGGAACTGCCTATAGCAGATCCACAACCCTAGGCTACTCCCCCAAACTCCCTGTGGGGAGAGCCACCTCTTGGCCTTCAGGGTCTCAGGAAGGCGGTGCTGTCAGACAGACTCTGGGGCATCTTCTTTCTGGTAGAGGGAGGGCTGTGAGCTTCTGCACCCAAAGCCAGGGGCTGCCTCCAGCTGCTCTGACTCCTGGCAGCTGTCATAGCAGTTATTCTGCATTGCAGGTGCTCTCAGAGGTCACCTGATGATGTGTTAGCTGAATTCAGGGTCACAGTGAAGGTGAAATCGAATCAAAATGGGGGGCTGACACTGTGGTGTAGCGCGTAAAGCTGCCACCTGCAGTGCCAGCATCCTATATAGGTGTCAGTTTGAGTCCCACTGCTCTGCTTTCTGCCTAGCTCCCTGTGAATGCGCCTGGGAAAGCAACAGTATCTGGGTCCTTGCACCCACACAGAAGACCTGGGAGCAGCTCTGGGCTCCTGGCTTCAGACTGGTCTAGCTCTGGCTGCTGCAGCCTTCTGGGGAGTGAGCCTCTCCCTCTACCTGGTCCTTCCATCTACCTCTGCCTTTCCCATCAATAAATAAAAATAAATAAATCCTTCTTGATGAGAAAGTACAGCTCTGGAGGATGGTAGTCTTGGTGACTGGGAGGACCTGGGTGTGTGCACAGTGTAGGAGTGGGGGAGTTACAGGATGCCTAATGTGCACGTGCTGGTCCTCAGGCCATTCCTCACAGGTGTCACTCTGCCATGTGTCCCAGCCTCATGGATCTGACTCCCACAGCAGGTGGCTCCCTGGGTAGGAGTGGTACCTGGCTATCGTGGGCAGGCAGGTGTGACTGCAGCCCTACCCTGTGCACCGGGCTCAGCCCCAGGTCGGCTCCTGACACTGACGGGACTCTGAGATGGACATCAAGGTTTCAACTCTCTGGAACCTTCTGTCAGCCCTGGAGGAGTATGGCGTTTCCAGGGACAGAGGCAGAACTGGAGTTCCTCTTGGAGCTGGTACTCCTGTGGAGGGGAGGGGACTTGGTGCCGGGGGACTTCTCTGGCTGGAACCTGGTCATGTGCGGCCAGCCTGGGCCACCGTCCTCCTGAGGCTTTTCCAGACCCTTTTTTCTTGGCTTCCTCTTGCTTGCCCTGCTTCACCCTCGAATCCAAGCCCACCTCTGGGGGACACTCAGGGGCGCTATAGCTGGGCAGTAACAAGAACCAGTTTCCAGCAATCCTTTCCTTACCGTCAGAGGGGGAGAGGAAGAGCTGGAGGCAGAATCTAGAGGGCTCTTCAACACAAAGGCCTCTTTCTGGAACCCAGAGTTGGGGAGGAGCTCTGCAGGCAGGCTCTGCCAGGTACGCGGGGGTTCAGCTCAACCTCCCTGCTAAGGGACAAGCCCCCATTGCCTCCCTCAGGATTCTGGCCCCCTTCACCTTAGTGCCCTGCAGCGCAAGGCCTGGGTTTTTCTCCTGGACTGCCCCGGTGCAGCTATATGTGGCCCAAGGTTGGACGAGCGGACACTTGTTTTCCTGAATGGACTCACCCTGTCTGTTCTTGTTGACTGTTCATGTCTCACCTGGGGCCCTCTGGGCCTGTCTTCCTGTCGCCCTCGCTGCTGAGGCCCCAAACGCCCGCCATCTGCACACAGCTCCCCCCAGCTCCTCCCCAGATCTTTAGGACCGCCCCCCCAACCTCCCGCCCACCCAACCCGGTTTCCCTCACCAGGAGCCCCTCTCCAACTTGGCTCTCTTCCGTGGGAAACATACGCCGGGCAGGAAGGCTTGTCTCCCCTGTGGGCCTCCCATGGCTCAGCCCCGCGTGGGGCCCACGCACACGGGACGGTCAGCCCAGCTGCCTGGGTGCTCCCTGGCGTTTCCGAACCGGGGATTCGCTCTGAGAGCAGGCCATACTCAACAGCGCCCCTAGGGGGAGTTCTGCCGCTCACTCCCGGCCGTAGGGGTGAGGCATGCTTTCTCTTGGGTTCGAGAATAGGGGTCCTTGAACTCACTGTTAGTCAGAAGGCGAGCTCCAGCTGTTGGAGGCCCTCGCCACCACCGGCTGGCCGGTTCTGTAGGCTGGAGATGAAGGCACGGCCCGAGTCCCTGGCTTGGACGTCCGTGGCTTCTGGGATGGCCAGAAGTGTTCGGGGGTGCTGGCTCTGCCTGAGTAGACTGACACAAGTCAGCCAGGCGCGACTTTCTCCTCAGTGCGTCTCTTCACTGGATGGATTTCTACTTCTGTGGTCCGAGGAGGCCCCAGGGAGAAGAGGGGCCTGAGGTAACCTTGACTTTCCCCTCTCCCCTCCCCCAGCCCTTCAGAGCAGGAAGAATTTCCCAGCTCCTTCTCCACGGAATTGCAATCTCTCTAATTGCCCTCTGTGCACGGCTGGGTGGGTTTTATTCACTTATTTTTATTTCTCTAGAGAATGCACTGCTGCAGATTTCTCTAGAGTGCTTCTCTGTGTTTTGGCCTTGCTGCAATAATTGCCTTAGTAAATGGCAGTGCAAATGTTAGAGTGTGAGAGAGAGATCACACCAGACCCAAGTGTTAGGATGTTAGGAGGCGTCTTTATTGCCCAAGCTTGGTGACAGCAGCTCCTGTTACTGTGGCTCCAGGAGCCATTGCACCGTGTGCACCGTACAGCAGAGGTCAGAGGGTTTTAAGCTGTGATCCTCCAATCAGATTGAGGACTGTACAGAACAAAGTTCCCATGTTCAGGAGGCAGGAAGGGAGCTGCTGGAGCCCAAAGTTTTCCTGTAGTTAACTAACCTAACCTAACACAACAGGAGGCAGGAGGGCCCAGTGCATGGTGCCTCCGGGGTCATTTCCAGCCTGTCAGTTGTCCTGAATGGTACGAAGGACAGGAGAGGTGGAGTGTGTACAAGGAGCCTCTGAAGCTGTTTGCACCTTCAATTAGCTTGAATGGCGAGAGAGGAGGTAGGAAGGGCTGAATGTGGAAACTGTTTCCGTATGCTGTCTGCTGTCAATTAACCTGACAAGCCAATGCTAACCATCAATTGGCTACACCCCTTCGCACAAAGAATTAGACTCCCCCAAGGAAACTAAAGGCAGCTAAACACAAGGAAAATGATCAGGAATGAACCTTCAGGAGAGTTCACCCAGGCCTGGGCAGTTAATGCCAATCATCTCACCTAGCCACGGCAGCTAGGATGAAGTGGGGCTGTCTTGGCCCTTTTCTTACCAGGCTGGGGTGACTGAGGGGGTGCCAGTGACTTTTCCTAGCCCAGGACTGGAGTTCAGCTCTGACCCCTAAACACTTTCCTTATGGTGGGCTTAACCCCAGAGTTCTGCATTTCCAGCTGGCGATGCTCGGGCTGTCACATCGCTGGATGTTCTAATCCCATCTCGATGGGAATCTCCTCTGGATCTTTCCCAGGAGGCTTCCCTGATACCACTGAGGGCAACTTCCCTGGGAGAAAGTCCTTGGTGGCTTCTACTGGGCACCCTGGCAGACGGCTTTATCCGTGTGGGATAGACGGTGTCCACTACCTCGTACCAGCACGAGCATTCCAGCCAGCTTCTTTCAGCCATGCCTGCCTGCCGATGCTTTGTGGTCTGTCAGAACCTTTCTGTTTATTTAATTGAAAGGCAGAGTGACAGAGACAGAGACCTTCCTTCCGCCAGTTCACTCCCCTGAGGACCACGATGGCTGAGGTTGATCCAGTCCAAAGTCAGAAGCCAGGAACTCTGTCTAGCTCTCCCATGTGGGTGTATGGGGTCACGTGCTTGGGCCACCTTTTAGCGTCTTTCCAAGCATGTGAGCGGGAGCCTGGACTGGAACCAGAGCAGCTGGGACCAGTTCTCTGATATGGGATGCCAGTTTTGTCAGCGATGGTTTCCGCTGCTGCACCACAAAGCCATGCCCCAATGTCCTTCTTGAAACTTGAAATCCATGTATAGTCTCAGGCTCCTGAAGCAGCAGAGGGCATTGTGTGGCACATTGTGATGAAGTCCCGGTGGGGAACAGGAATTGTTTGTTTTCCTGCTGCTGTTGGCCGTGACCTTGATGACGCACACGAAACCTGTGATTAGTGAAAACTCTTAGACCTTTGTTTCTAATCAAGTTTAAGTTCAGTGGCA